ATTTGGAAGCCATGTATACGGCAGCATCTTTCATTGGTGTCACTTCAAACCTCAGTTTCTTGTTGATCCTGTTACCTTAGTATGATTTTTTTCTCCTTGAATTTTTATAGAAACGTGTGATACCTAAAGAGTTGCCATTTTAATCTGTTGCAGAAAAAAAAATTGCTTTTATAAATGAACTGCTAACTAGGATTACAACTATGTCATCTTTCTTTTGACAGAAATGTATTCTGCAACACAACTTGGGTGTGCTACTCTGTTCTCCTCGTTTTCACCAACTGCAGCACTAGAAATATTTGCTGATCTTCAGAGAGCAATGAAGAGCTTTGTCCTAGAGAATGATCTACACAGTATTTATTTGGTAAGATTTTTTGTTATATAGTCTGGCATCTCAGAATTCTTCCAACTCTTTAAGATTCTTTGATTGCTTGAAATGCTCGTTTGCCTCGTTCTTTCATGTAAGAACTAGTGATTGCAGTTTTTCATTTTGCAAGTTATTTTATGACAGTTAAGAGTTTTGCTCCTCTATCACGTTTCTGTGAATTTAGTAGTTAAACTATTGCCTTGCGGCATGTGTCAGTGACATTGGTAGCGCAGCAAGGCAGGAACAGATCTATCACAGCCACCTAGGCTATAAACTACTTTATTTTACAGCTATATACATTAGAAGCTACGTAACACGCAGCACATCGTAAACTTGCTTCTTTATCGTCCAATCGTAACATCGTAACATCGCGAACTATTCAGTTGTTATCAGCACTAGTCCACACCTCCTGCATTCCAGAGTGATGTATGACGCTGCATTCATTTGTTCTACACACTTGATTTATGACCTCTCTAGGAATGCCCTCCATGGTTCCCTCCATGGTTCAGTTAACTTTTTCCACACAGGAATACATTACACTCAGCACATAGCTACTGCATTTTAAACATACATGCATACTTTGAAATCTACATTATAAATTGCAAACAGCTTCAACAGCATTAACTCTTTCAACAAGAATCTTTCACATGCATTCATTAATTCTCTTACTCCCAGAGTTTTATTATCAGTAACAGATTTGCAAAAGGTCAGAATTAATATTGGGAATTCATAATGTAATTTTCACTGTCATCCATTTAAATGTTTCACTGACATATGTTTGTATGCTTTTAATGAAGTTACTCTTCTCGCACCAGTGGTGCATCATGGCGGTATAGTTACAAACTATTACAAACACTGGGGTCATTTTGTGTGCTTTCTTTTTGTTGTTTTGTAGGTTACTCCTGTGTATGAAGACTGGACTAAAATAGATTGGTATCGATTCTTTTGCTTATGGGAGAAGCTGCCTGTCTCAATGAGGAGAGTAGCAGAGTTGGTGGGGATTGAGGAAAGCTTTTTAGCCTTCTCCGTGAAGGGAAAGGTTATTACTAAAACTGAGAAACAACATAGGCAAATGGCCATCCACAAAAGGTAATGAGTTAAAATAATAGCATCATAGAGTTAGAAGAGACCT